CTCTTTCATACTCTTTTTTAGCATAAATGATCACTTCACATGGTCCATCACGACTTGGTGGTGAAACAAAACAATCAATAACATTTTCTACGTGAGGATCTCGTTGACATAAAGTGTGCATCTCTTTTGGATATTCATTTCCATCGATGTACAAACGAGCGAAAGCCTGAGCGTATTCTCCTGATACGATTGAAAATTTAAATGGACGCGGAGTTTGTATTATTCCGGAAGAATTACTCGTGGAAAAATGTTCTTTTAATATTTGTCTCATTGTCTGTTCGAAAAATTCAGTTGAAGAAGAATCTTGTTGACGAAATATCAATTCACTTAGAGTCTTCGTTTGTTTTTCAAATAAAACATCCAATGAAATTTGTTCATGTTGTTTATTTGAACTCGAAATTTCTTTCATTGTATTCAAAAGATCTTTTTGTAATTGTTTAATTTCATCGATGGTTGTTGGATATGTTCGTTGTTGTTCCATAATCAAATCAGTTAAATGTTGTTTTTGATCGTTAAAAAGACGTTTTAATGAATCATCATCATTGCCAGTCGTTGAATGGCTTTGTACAACATCAATAAGTGTTGCTTGAATTTCTTTTAACGATGTTCGATCAATACTTGTTGTCGTTCGTTGACCTTCGTACTGTTTGACGATAGTTTGTTCGATTTGTTGTCGAATCTTTTCGTTAAGATCTGTGTAAAATTGTTCGATTGATTGAAATTGTTCTTGTTGAGATTTGAATGATTGTGTTAAAGTTTTTTTGAGAAGTTCAATTGAAGAATTGAGATTGTTGATATGTCTTTCAAAAGTACTTTCTAAAATACTTCTTTGTTTTTCAATTGAACGAATCAATTCTTCTTTATCATTTTTCACGATTGTTTTCACATTATTCACAACTTCAGAGTCTTTCTCAAATGATTTGATTAATGTTGTTCGTTCCGAATGAAAATCTTCACGAAATGACGCTATTAATTGTTCACGTTCTTTTTTCATTAAGTCAACCATATATTGTTTGATTTCTGTCAGATTATTATTATTACTTGCCGTTGGTGTTGTACTTGCTGTTGTTGGTTTTGAGGGTGGAACATTTGCAGGTGAAGAACGAACTTTCTTCTCAGTTTTCTGATAATCATGACACCAATGTGAATTGATTGGTGGAAGTGATAATCTTGCTGATTGAGATCGATCACAAGAACAATTGAATATATAATAATTGTTTCCATATGTTGGTCGATCTTTACGTAAACCCAACACGTGATAAGTTGCTGAATCGATTTTAAATGAATGTGTTATATCGAAATAACCTGTTTCCATCGCGAGAGACAAATGAAAAAATAAAGTGGGATTTGATGTGGCATACAATGTCGAAAATAACTTTTCTGTTTACGTTCTTCAATAACAAGAAGAAAAAGGAATTTATTCGTCGAGCATTGTTATGTTTTCATGAGAAAAACAAAATTTCTTTGGCGACATTGAGTGTTTTCGAAAACTGAAATCGATTGTTCTTGTTTTACCTTATTAAGCAACAAGTTTTTCTCTTCATACAGAAGAAATCGTATGAAACTTGTATTTGTCGATTTTTCCTTTTTCAATGAGTTCATCTTAAACAGTAAAATCAAGGACACCTACTCTGAGAAAATGATGAAGTCTCTTTAAATTGGTGCATCATTCACAGCCAATTGTAGATATTTTTGCAAAACATTATCAGTTCTTAGCAAAAACCATTCGACTAAGTCATCTGTTCTGTCTAAATGAAATAAATATCGATACGTGGGTTTTTTACCTTTCCGTTCTGTATCTACATGTTAAAAGGATTTCTACCACTATGATATTCTTATCCGCAGCGCGGATTTTACCATATAAAACGATTAAGAAGAGGGAAAAAGCAAAATGAATGAATATAAAGTCTTTGGTAGTCATAGAACATGGTAACAATGTCGAAAATCAATTCTCTACACGAAGCTTGTAAACACAACGATGTCGATCAAGTCAAACAATTGTTATCTCAACTGGATAAAGATGAAATTAATGTACGAAGTGATGATTGCAATCGAACAGCGTTACATATTGCTGCATTTCATGGACATGGAGAGATCATCAAACTTCTTCTAACGCACGGAGATATTAATTGTAATATTCCAAACCAATGGGGTTTATTGGCGAAAGATGAAGCACCGGAGAATATTAAATATTTATTTGATGAACAATTCAACATAGATGAGGAATCTTTCGAATGGTTTGATACATATAAATATGTCTATCGAATTGCTTACGAATGTCAAAATCATCTTAAACAATGGTTGACGAAAGTATCATTTCAAAAATTAATCGAAGAAATTCATGAATACATTGAAAATATGGATTTCGATCGAAATGAGAAAGATTCAATTCAAAATTATGTCAAACAAACAATGGAGACTAACGATCCAATTCCATTAGTTCGTGCATATACAGAAAAAACACGTTTCGTTACGAAATTAAACGAAGATTTAGCCAAAGAAGGTTCTGATTTCCGTTTTCAATCCGCTTTAGCTGGATTGAATACAAATTTATGTGATAATGAAGCACCAAAAGGTTTTGGTGGTTATATTTACACGTCAATTTTAGCTTTTCATACAAAACTGCAGTCCTACCGTCGGTTTACTGGTTTAACTTATCGAGGTGTCAATATGACAAAAGCTGATCTCGATCAATATCAAAAGAACAGATCAATGCTTGTTCGAACGTTTTTATCTTCTTCAACTGAACGACTTGTTGCAGAAAACTTTCTCATTTCGACTTCAAAGGGAAAATATCCGGTGATTTGTACTTATAATATTCGAAATATGAATACAGCCATTGATGTACAGACGATATCGAGATATCCAAACGAGAAGGAGATTCTCATTCCACCTTTTTCAGTTTTTACAATTATTGATATCAAATTGAATTTGGATGGTATCAGTTTTATTGAACTTGATGAATTTAAGTCATCAGTTTAGTTAAAATAGAAGGTTTTCCAAAGAAAAGTGTACGGATTTTCTTCGATAGTTGTCTGTTCGACAAAAAGATAGACAAGAAAATTTGTCATCGACACATCTGTCCTTGGTTTTTTCCAATTCGTTTTGTGTATTATATGCTTTGATAACTATAGAGAACGACATCTATGTTGAAATTGAAATGTTGGATGATGCTGTTTGATTAGTTCATTCGGTGTATTTTTGAAGAAATAAAGATTCATTAAAATTATGTCAGATCTGCTACGATATTTCATGAATTTGAGTTGTTGACAAGTGACTGTTAAGTATAAAAATAATGTTAAAAGAGTAAATAGTATCACTAACGGAAAATCTGTAAGTTTGAATTTTGTTCATTACTTTTAAACAAATTAACGAAAAAAAAAGTAAAGAAAATGTTAATATTCGTTGTTCACCGTTTTGCGAAAGATTTTGATCTCTTTCATCTAATTCTTTTTTTACAAAACAAAATAACATGTAAACGAAAAGCTGAGTTAAGGTGTGATTGTGTCATTAAATTGTTCAATATCTTCTAAAATAAATTCGAGTTCTGTATTTTCCACAATACATTCGATATCATTGACATGTGATTGAACACTTTGAACTTGTGACATCATTTGAATAACAGCCAAAAGAGATTGAATCAAATTCATAAATCTTTGAACAGCTTCACAATGACCATATCTATACAAAAGATATTTCCATGTGACATCTGCATATTGATTTTGAATCTTTAAGATGACATTTGTGTTCATTTGATCCGAGAATAGCGCTGTTGATGAAAATATACAAGTCGTTCTAGTGAAGAGTAACAACGAACATGCCATTTTATTAAGTACAATGTCATGATCGATAAATTTGATTGAATTTAATGTGAGATAAAGACTATGTTCTCCATAGATTCGAAAAAGTGCTTTCAAGAAAGATCGACAAGTGTTCAATTGAAATTGATACATTGAAAATACTCCACCGTAACAAGCAATTGAATCTGCACCTGTACGAAGCAAAACCAAACGATCATTGTGTGTTAAATGCCGAAGATCACCGTTTGAACGAAGACATAATTCCGTGGTTTCGTAAAGTAACGTAAAGAATTGTTTAATCAATGTTTCATTTGCTGGTTGCATTAATTGTAAACTTTCATCCTCTTTATATAAACTTTCACAGACAGGAAGAATCTTTCGTTCATCATAACTATGTACTAAATTGGAAAGAAGAGTCCATTCATCATTATTCAATCTTGATGTATCCACTCGCAGAATATTCAATGTTGGTAACTACAAAAGCAAAAGATAAAAATGATTGAAGTTCTGTAAAAATATTTCTCTGATGGGGTGTAGATGAGAATGAAGGTTTCAGATTCATTATTCTCATCCTCACTCTTTCAAAAGATTCTACCATTTTGGGTTCGCATGATTTGACCAAAGGAATGACTTGTACTGATTTTTTGGTTCTTGTTTTGGAAGAAGAAGTATTACGAAACAAGTTCATGTCCATTCCACATTGAAAACATTTCGCTAATCGACATGCAGCACAAATATGACGATTGGTGATATTGATCTTACATTGATTATTATTACGGTAACATTGAATTTTTTTCTAAGAAAATCGATTTATCTGGCGAATAGAAGAAAATGTTTCATTCAAACCTCAGCATTCCTTCGGAAAAACATTTTACATGATGGACATGAAAGAACACCGAAATAAATGCTACGAGCAGGTTCATCACAAATTTTGCATTTCAACAGAATCTGTTTTGTATTTGATAATGATGACTCACCGGATTGGTCTAACATCGTTCTTGTTTTTCGTCTAAAATAATCGATATTAATTCAAGTAGGTTTTGAAAATATCATACGAATGTCAACAAATTAAAACATCTTTTCATTTCTTATTAGTTGAAATTGTTTCTAGTACAACGCTTCTGTCACAAACACTTACGTGTATTTGCCAGGAAAAACGAAAGTTACTTTATCGTTTCTCTACTAAAACTGAATGTATCGTTAGACTTTCCAGTAGATGTCGTTCTTCGCCGGTTTAAAGTGATTGATACTCTATTAACAACTAACTGTTTTAAAAGTGGAAAAGTTCATCTTTCCGGGTTAATAAAGTTTGCTCAAAGAAACTATGCAATTATGCATCCTTATTTATTTAAAATTCAATAAATTGGTAAGTACATAGCGTAACATGGCACTTTATCATAACCTCCGCCAGAGCAGAACGGAATTAAGAGTATTTCTTCTGAGTCTTCGACGCGAGTTATGGTTAAAATTTGTCTTTTGAAAAAATTTGTACTGTTGAAAATAAGTTTTGTTGGTGTCCATTGAAAACAATGAGTACATACGAGGGCTTTCCAATAGATAACAACAGTATCATTGCTTTGAGTTGGATGTGGAGGAGCAGGAAGCCAAACTTCTACTTTAGCACTCTTGTTTAATTTTAATGTGATATGATCAGGATTATAAGATATTCCCAGATCACCATCTCGACATATATCAGACCAATTTTTTGGAATTGACTTGAAATATGCGTCACTTGGCCTTTCTATTGAATAAATTGTATAGTTCTGAATTCGTCGAATAGTTTCCGAATCAACTAGAACAACTTCAGAATATCGAATGGGTATATTTGTATTTTTACGAAAGTAAATTTCTTGACATCGATAAACTTCACCAGTATCGACTCGACACGTTTCATTTGAATACCAATAATCTTCATTTGTCGATGTGTTCGTCGAATAAATCATTCGATAGTTAAAATTCAAATAATTTGTAATTCGATATGAACTATCATTACCCCAATGGGATGGAAACAAACCAAACGCATTAGAACTGTATTCCCAATACGTTAAATAAGAACATTGAGTATTTCCCTTGTGTTTATTTAAAATTAATTGAACATAATGCTTCGCTTGTGCTGAGCCCGACTTGGCGTACGGGATATGTTGCATTACGTAAGCAATATCAGTATCATCGGAACTTACATTAAGTTTTAAATACGCACGTTGATTAATTCCATCAATGGCGATGATTGTTTTGTTATTATCAGGAGAGAAAATTACCTGTTCGGGAAAATATGGTTGTACAGAATTGACGAATTGTTGAGAGAATATGAAGATTAAGAAACATACAAATATTTTCATCTTTTTAATATAAAGAAAAACGATCTGCAAGTGAAACTGATGTTTCTCCGTAAAGAAAAGAAAAAGATGAGTTATGATGACAAGGTGAAGACTTTATCTTTCAGTAAAATGTGAAAATGTTGATAACATTTTAGCATATGATACTTTATTTTGTAAATAGATTTACTAAAAAATTTACAGACAAACACATCGTCAGTTCTTTCTCAATGCTTTACAACACACTTTAAGCAATGTTGTTGGTTTCAAAAGTATAAATGGACTATTAAGTTGATTGATAACACACATGATGTCTACCGACAGTTGTCCGGATTGATTTGCGCATTGTAAAAACCAATAAATGTACCATTGTAAAATTCGAACGATCAGCGGGGGTTTCATTTGCTCGTTTTCTGTGACAATCGACTGATCATCTCGTTGATCAGTTCTACTTTGACCATTTTCATCGGTTTGAATTACTTTCAACGTGGGTGTTTTCCAATCATTTGCAGTTGAAATCAGCCAACATTCTTCACTAATCGTCGATGCTCGTCGATTATAAATATAGGAAACTTCTTCTAATTGATAATGATTGTCTTGGAAGATTCTATTCAGTATTTTTGCTTGTCGACAGGCGTGTGTCATACCTTGTCCGAATTGAGGATTGAATGTGCACATCGAATCGCCTAGTAGAATAAAGTTTCGCGGCCATTTCTTCTTTAATACTTCGACGTATTTTCGATGACTAGCTACGCGATGATATGGAATCAATGGACTATACACTTTCGTGAACTTCAAAATCGAATAGAAATTCTCGTCGAGACGTTCTTTTACCCATTCTAATAAATGTTCGTAAGAATCGCTCGGTGGATATTCGGAATTAACACAATGAATTGCAATCTTTGATAACATTCTTAATGAATTCTTATCTGTTGATTTGATTTCACGTATTGGTGTTATGTAACATCCTACGTTTCTTTGAGGTATATCAACAGTCGAGCATATCACTGATTTCGAATCTAATGAAGAATTTCCAGTCTGAAATCGTTCACCAATAAAACTTAAATATCCACAACCGAACTGTATTTGTGTTGTTGGTACATTTAAATTGAAATCTTCTTTTAACCATTTAGTCGATGATGAATTTCGACCGGTACAATCAAGAATAAAGTCTCCATATAAATCAAACGAAGTTGAATCGATATTTTTCTTCGGTCGACATTTGACACCGTGAACAAAATTCGATGATTGATCGACAATCAATTGTGTTACTCTTGTATTGCATTTCCATTCAATCTGATTCGGAAATTGTAAACAGAATTCTCTTCTTAAAACAGTTTCGAACGTAAAACGATCAAGGCCCAACCAAAGAATGTCTTCGGGCCAGTTTTGGTTTAATAAAACTCCGTTAACGGAAAGTCTCGCTTCATTTTTTAACGAATAAGTACGAACGTTATATTCATTGAATAGCTTCTTTTCTAAGTGAGGAAATAATTCACGAACTATTTTATATCCTTCACCTTCAATAACATGTAGTTGGTATATTTGACTAACACCAGAACGTCCCAATGAAGTTGGACTTTCGAGACGACAACGATAGTTTAAAATTTCTTCAGGTGTCGATTTCATTAACGTATCATTTAATATATCATCGGACTCGATAATTGTTATTCGTTTGAAATATTTTGTTAAATAAGCAGCACTGACCATTCCTCCAATACCACCACCCATTATTATTGCGTGGTCATATTGAAAAGGTATTTTAGAAGATTTATTCAATTGTTTATAGACTGTATACATAATCATTCCCAGAATAACCGAGAATATCACAAGAATGAACATTATGAGTGAGAGATAAATTTATCTAAAATGCACATAGGCCCATTCGTTCTTCAATGTAATAGATCGTCTGCGGATGTATTCTGAAACCTGCGTATTTTTCTCTCAACCATAGGTAGAAATGAAAATAAACGAAACAGTACATCTATAGATACGAAAAAAAGTAGATTAATTCAAGATAAGAATCCACAGAATTGCTTTTTGTTATTATCTCTTTAGAAAAAAATGTCAAATAGAAAAACAAAAACATTATCAAGAAAATCATTTGGACTAGAAGAACGATAAAAATTAGAGCAGAGGAAATAATATCTGATTGTAACATTGCTGTTTTCGTCAGTTGTATCGCAAAGATTGATTTCGATATAATTCGAGTAAATCATGTGGTGGAAGAAGAAGAAGATGATGATTGTTGTTTTTTCTTCCTTTCGTCTCTCTCTCTCTCTCCTGCCAAAACTATCTCTGAATTGATCGCACATACTACAACAAGACAAAAACGCAGATAGTATGAGATATGGTCATTGCGCCTGTCCTCGAATTGTTCACACTAGTCTTCGTTTTTCTTCTTTATTCTGAAAGAAATGTTTGGCATCGATATCATTGCGTTCGTAGTCATCGTCTTGTTTGTTAGTCACATACAGAAATGGAGAAAATTCAAAATGAGAAGTAACTTTCACTTAGTATATTATTTTTACTACAAAAATGAAGTATTTTATGTCTTAGATCATCATCCATTTTGAAATTTGACGTTTGATCAGACCATATCAGGTCTTCAGTTTGAGTTAAAGAAATTTGAAATGTCGACAAATGATTCCGAATCTACTGATTTATCACTTATCGATCATTCTTTTACCATGATCCCAACCTGCCTCCTCGACAATCAAGCATAGGCATAGAACCATTCAAAGGACCAGAACGTTTAGGATGTTTAAGCGTTTTATGTAGTGCTATATTCTGGTGTCCCTATATCATTGGTGTTCGCTGTGAATGTAAGTAAGTTATTTTTATTCTCCACAAGAACTAAAGCCAAAATGAGAAATTCAACTTTAATTGTTCAATATTTCAAGTTGTCCTCGTTCATATTAGTTCAACTGGGTCCAATTAATTTTATGTTAAAAAGGCAACTCATTACAAAGACAATTTTAACTTTTGTTATGCGAAATTCTTTTATTTTTTTATCCGTACATCTATCTATGTCATTTACTTGACGATAAAAAATAAGTTAGTGAATAGCAACAACTTTGAATCGTCGAATAATTCGTATTCTAATAAAGTGAACAAGTTCTGGCATTGCGAATATACAAATAAATGTTTGCAATGGACATACGAAATAAACCAAATATTGAATACTATTCATTCCCGGATTGTTATTGAACAGATCTGGCATTATAAACGTTTTCATCATTGATAGAACCGTCGTGGGACCCCAACCACATATATAAAGCATCGAAAAACCAAGTAATTGAAAAAATAACTTTTTTTGCTTTTTCCACTTGCTGAAATGACGTTGTTGACGAACTTTTTGTCTTGAACAAACAATTCGACATATCAATAAAATATTTGACAAAACAATAATTAATATTGGTATTATACAATTTATTACCCAATCGAGATTAGATATAAGAATTATGCGACCATAACAAGGAGCAGCACATGTTGTTTCTTCTTCTGGGAAAACAGTTTTACAAGGATAGAAATAGATCAATGCGATGTAACATAAAGGTGGATATGTTATGCAAAAGATTAATGGAAAAAAATGAACGGACCATCGTGTGCGTTTTATACGAAACCAATGTGAATTGAAGATGAGAAAATGTCTTTGAATACTCGCGGTAGCTGTGAGAAATAAACTCATCGCTGAAATCGTATAATCAACCCAAAACCACCAGAGACAAAACGATGGTGTACGAAAATAATCATAACCAAGACGATAAGTACTGATGATAAATGGCAAATCTAACGTAACGTATAAGAATGAAATGAGAATTAGGAGAAAAATCACATGATGATGAAGAGATTTGACGATCATTAATTGCCAATGACAACAAATATAAATCATAATTAAAAGTGTACAACATATTGATGGAATTTCCACAATTAACAACGAAATAAAAGTGATAGAATATACCGTCGATATACCCGGTGAATTTGATACACTATTGTTTTCCATTCGAACAGAAGTAGACTCAACGAAGATTTTTCTAGATAAACTGTACAGTGCAGGTGAATAATTCTCTATAAAAGAATGATTAGCAAGAAGAAGTCTTGTTTGAGGATTTTTCTGGTACTCGTGAGGATGGGGTGAGCAAATATAATTCATGCAAGCAAAGCATTGTCAATACTGCGGTACATTTTCTTAGCTTGAAAAGTTCTTTTTCTGTATCAAGCTGGTCTTTGTATCATTAAAAAAGCTGTTTTAACTAATGTCTGGTTGAACATTATCGATGTGTTGTTGTATCGTGACTTCACTCGCATAGCTGCTTTTTTATCATTAGACATGTCCACAAACGAGGTTGGTATAGCGGAAATCGTTAAATCTGTCATCATTAATAGAATATGCACCTTCTTTTAAAAAGATTCTTTTTATGACAGATACTTTTCAAAATTGACTTTTCACGCTATAAAGTGAATCAGGCATTAATTATGATTTCCCGTCGTTCAACTCATCAGTAAAGCTCGTGATGCTTTTAGATTTTTCTTGTATCAGCGAATGGTGATAAATACGCACGATAAACTTTGATTTCTTCTTTCTTATCATGTCTAGCGTATTCACCGTTGACTTTCATATGCAAGAACATCCTTAAATATACTTCTGCGATGAACAATTGTCAGATTTGTAAACCTGAAAAGTCAACATAAGTAATCTCTTCAAAAGGATAATCATCTTATTGTCAGCTTAATTATCTTCCTATAACAAACAAAACTGTTCTTACGCCTTGCCGAGAAAAACTTCGAATATTAGTTTTTGAAAATTTTTATATTTCAAGTACTCAACGTTGACATCACTTCAATGTCACTTGTATCTCTCGGTGAACAAATTACCATTTACGGTGGTTGTATTCTAATTGTATTTGGAGTTATTGGTGGAATATTCAATGTTATCATTCTTCTTAGTTTAAAAACATTTCGACAATGTCCATCAGGATTCTATTTAACATTGATGTCTTTTGTCAATATTGGCGAATTATTATTCGGATTGCTATCACGTGTTATTATTTTCGGTTTTGAAGTTGATTGGAATGCGACATCAATAGTGTTTTGTAAATTTCGATTAACATGTTTTCTTTTATGTGCATTGATATCTTATACTTGTTTATGTTTGGCAATTATCGATCAATATTTGGCAACTTCAACTCGACCACATTGGCAACAATGGTGTAACAACAAAATAGCTTATCGTTTAATTTTACTATTTACATTCATTTGGATAGTGCATCTTATTCCATATCCAATTATGCTACAACATGTCATTTCACCTACAACAAATAAAGTGACTTGTACTTCAACAAATCCAAGTATGGTCATCTATCGAAATTATTATGTTGGTCTTTTTCTGGCAGGTTATATACCTGATATAATTACATTGGTATTTGGTATTTTAGCTTATCGTAATATTCGGCAGATTGGATATCGAACAATTCCTCTTGTTCGTCGAGAATTGGATAAACAGTTGACAGTGATGGTTTTTGCTCAAGTTATCATTAATTTTCTAACAAATGTTCCATTTTCTACTCTATTTGCGACTACCTTTGTAACAACAAATTCGAAAGATATATTCGCTTTGAACGTCATACAATTTATTTACAATGTTTCAATTATTATATTCTATACATATTTTTCAGTAAGGAGAAAGATTTATCTTTGATTTTTAATTGATTTTGTTCTAGAGTTCATTTTATATTTATATGTGCGTATCTGAACGATTCCGTCGACAATTTATTCATGTTATTTATCAAATATACTCTCAAAGATGGCGACAAGAACTTAAACCAAATAATCAAATTGCTCCGTATTAAAACCGTTAAAATATTTTATTTTCATTTTTTCCTATTCTCAATAAAATAAACTTCTCTGACGACCAATACAGTGATAGTTCTATTTTCATTTCCTTTTCTTTCTATTCACCATTAATGAAACTTTGTTGTTGAACATTTCTTTCGATTTAATATATTTTTAAATCAGATATTACACATCCTGTTGGCAGATTTCTTCTTATGCGCGTTCATAATCATAATTGCATGAATGCATATCACGACACAACATTCTTTTATAGTTCTATCATTCAGTGAAACTAACAAGTATATGAAATTCTTGGTAGCAGACTGTCGTATTTAATTTTCGGAGTAATGATGATGAGTAACCAAAAAAGTTAAAAGATTCACCGAATCTGAGAGTACTCAAAGGAACATCATATACCAAAGCAGGATACCGTAACATTTTAATATAAGAATATACGTAGATGAAGTTGATATAGAATACTCGAAGACGATAAAAGCATTGTCTGTTGAAACGTCATTCATAGTGCACGTATTGATTAATAAATAAATAAAGATACAGTTGAGTTAGACTGATCACGTAGAGAGAATTGAATATAATTTAAAATCACGTTTTCTGATGATTGATGAAGCGTTCAAATCATCTTTATCTTTGTTTATTCTTGGATCATTCATATCTAAACTCTTTGAAAAAATCAATCTACACAAACTATTGAAATGAAATCCGAACAAAGGAGGTGAAGCAGTAATTGTAATGTGTGGTACTCCCATTACTGGTGACAAAATACTATCAGTACCGACTGATCGATCTGAAATCAAACAAACTCGATGTATTCTTTTGACAATTATTTCTATTAGTTTCGTGAGTATTAGAATAACTTTTGATAGTCAATGGTAACATTCTATATCATGCAGTCTGGCTATAATTCATACAATTTATTCTTTCGCATGGTTCACTTGTGACAACAGTTCAAAACAAAGTCAGCAAGGCGAATCATTGCTCATATCTCTTGTTTCGATTCTATTTTTTGGCTCTGGACTTTATGTAACTCAAAATTATTATCGATTAGGTTTATATGTAGTATGTTAAAATCTTTATTTTCGAACAGCTCAGTGTTTTTCTTTAATATTTAATTCGCATGCTCAGGAATTGCTGTACTTATCGCTAGTGGAGTATGCATTTTCCATCTTATTGTTGGTATCATGACATCAGTTCCTACGTGTATCATGCTACTAACAACAAAGATTTTGTTACCAATACATTGATGCTCCTTTCGATGATCGCTGTTCTTCATTTGTCTGCTTTTATTGTGACATTAAGTGCTCAATGTATTCGTTTTACTCGTTTGAATATACTTTGATGTTTTTCGTAGCTCATCATTTATCAAATTTGCTTTTAAACTGGCAAAATTGATCCATGGCAACGAAAATTTGATAGTTGATTTATTCAAAGTTTAATACTTAGGCTTCGAAAACTATTCATTCAATCTACACTGTTTCCTTTTTCTGCTTGATAGTTGTCATCTCGTTTAGAAATTTTAGATAAATTTCTTTCAGCCAATTTGTTACATGTTTATCAGTGTCCACTCGATCTTGTATGACCATTGATTACTTATAGATTCGAGCTCGCCTGGTCGTGAAAGAGTTTTTGAATGATTTCATATAAATATCCGATGGTATGACAAAGATCACAAAGATGAGTATGGATGGCGTAAATGAAAAGAAATATGAAGTGAGATATAACCAGAGGTTTTTCGACGTTCTGATACATCCAGGTAATGATGAAATGATCACACGGGGCATCGATAAGATTAACAATAGAATAGGACTAATGATTAGTTGTTTATGTTCACTGAATTGACGACGAACGTGTTCTTTATAAGTTTGATTCGTTTGTATTACTGATCGTTGTCGAGCAGATCCGAAAATAATATACAAAGCGGAAAATAGATTAGCAAAAAATGGAATTAGCAGATGAAAATATAAAACGATTGTATTATAAGTTTGCACAGATGAAGGATATCGAATAACACACCAAACATGTCGATTGGTTACACTTGTGTATATCGTGTCGATGGACGTTTTGTTCTTTTCTGAGTTGAATACGTCTTTTGTGATACTTTCAGTATTATTCAAATAGACTCGATCAGTTTCAGTCTCATATTTCGACATTTCTCGATGTAAAGGTTCGTGAAGAAGACTTGCCATGATGCACAATGGTAAAATAAAAATTATCCGCTGAGCGAAACGTTTGCTCTTATTTTTGTTAAACTGAGCGCCTTTGAGAACTTGTACTGCTCGTTCAATTGCAACAGAAGCGTTTAACCAACTATCGCAATACAGGAAAAGTTTCAAAACCGGTTCGATTATGATACAACCGGCATGAAGAATAGTGAAACTTGTCGATGTGTTGATTTGAATGAAACTAGCGAACCAAAAATTGATTAAGAACATGCAAATGGTCAATAGAGAGGTAAGTGATGATACATAAAGGTATAATCCACATCCAACTTGTTGTGTATCTTTATTTTTAAATGTTAAATATGAAAAAAGACTATTGATGATTCCTCCAATAAACATCAGTATAGTCAAAGCCGAACTTATTTGAATTGAAGGCGATTGATTTGCTAATGCAATTTTTGGTTGGATTTCTCCACGTAAAATATCATCAAGTGGCAAACCAATTGTTGTCGAATAAAAGTGACAACGATCTCCGACTGAGCAACTTCGATATTTTGAATCTAAAACGATTTTATCTTATCAAAAGATGAATTTTTGTTAGGTTACTTACGAAAATAGTTGATAGTAGCATTGGATTCACCAGATATAAAGACGGAAAAGTTTCCCGTTGTATTCGGATAGTATGTGGTGACAACTAAAATGTATTTTGTGTTTTTTTGAAGATCAATAAAGAATTTCAGTTGATGTTGATTACATTTGCCACTATGTTGAGTTAATGAATTACCAAATGGTTGTAAAGGATCAAAAATATCTTTGTAAATATAACCGTATGTGTCCATCTCACTTTTACTCCAAATAACATACGATCCGTTTTTCATCACATTGATTTCTAATGTTTCATAATAATAATTTGGTTTCTTATAATCACGACAATATTTTGGACTATTTACAGTTAATTCGGATGAATAGATCGATCGAATATTGACTGAAGTAGCTATTTAATAACATAACGAATTTCAAGATACTTTCTCAAATTTACGATTCTTACAAGTCAAATAAGAAAATGTACTTACTGAGACGTTTGATCGTATCATTTTCTAATTTTGACACATGAAGTGTAATCTCGGCAATTCTCATTGGATGAAATGTTGTGATAACCAATATGTATAGAGTATCATCATAAAGAGGAATTTCAAATCTGAATTGATCATTGAATCCCCCATCATCATTTTTGACAAGAAGATTTTCAGTTGGATTGAGTGGATCAAAAATATTCTCATAAATGTAGCCGTATGTATCGATTGAAGCATCACTCCATATCGTATAATAACGATTTTCTGATACTTTGATTTCATATGATTCGAAATAATAACTTTCTTTATCACAATCTTGAGAATATAGTTGACTATCTTTCGATAATTTGATTAACTCTGTCCATCGAATAACTGATGACATATCTGTAACAGTAAGAATTCGTTTGTCATAATTCACAGAAAGAAATCCTATTTGACGTCAAACTCACCACAAGAATTAGGTGAATATTGAAATTTTCGAATTCGATGATTTCCTGAATCCATCACAAACATATTTCCATCACTATCGAAAGCAAGAGTAGATGGAAATAAGAATTGAGTAGATTTGATACTGATTCCATCACATCCGAGAAGGCAACGCATATGACTTATTCCCGATCTCAAAACGCGATGATTTTTCGAATCAACAACGAATAAAAATCCTTGAGCATCCAATGTTATTCCCGTTGGACATGAGAGTGAATATTGAAATCGTGCTGGTAATGCACGTCCTACTTCTGTGGTACCATCTATCACGTTTGGTCGAAATTTTTGAATTCGATCATTTCCACAATCAGTGACGTATAAATTCAATGATGAGTCAATAAAAATTCCATAAGGATCATTCAGTTCTGTAGATGAAGATCCTTTAACGCCCGTTCCGGCCGCACTCGTCCATGTCATGATACGCTCGTGCAAGCGTTTTTTAATAATTTGGTGATAGTTAGACATCGAACAATATAAATAGTCGTTCAAATCAATAAATAAACTGGTACAGGATGAAAAGACACTCATCGCATCAATAAAAACTTCCTTACTCAAAATCCAAGCTTTCACTGAGCTTTGCGCTCCATTATCGATATAAATATCCCCATTCAATGCAACAAATAGAGAAGATGAGTTGAAGAAACCGGTAAAAATAGTCTTTGTTGGTTCGATATTACCTTGATGCCAAACTAAAATTTCCATTGTCTCTCGATTAATTGAGTAGATTAAATTATTTTTGTCTATAAAAAGGGCTGATGGTTTCGAACCAAGTGTGAATTGATCTGCAACAGTCATTCCATTTTGACTCCAAACTGACTTTGAACAGAATTTGGGCTGATTGAATGCAAAGCCTATTCATCAACACACACATATATATCACGGCATATAGCAGTAGGAAAAGTGGATCGAAGATCCAAAATTTTATCTGTATNGTCCATCGAACTATTTTTCAAGTTTATTTTCGCCACCACATGCCGATATGTCATCGAACAATACAAATTGTCATTGATATCGATAAACAAGTCAGAACAAAATGAAACTAGATCCACAGCAGATTTCAAAGTATTTGTTTCTGCTATCCATATCTTCACTGTAGATTCAATTTTGCCATCATCAATATAAATATCACCATTGGATTTTAGAAACAGAGAATTGATCCTTGAGAAGTTGCCTATATCAATATTTGTCATATTACGACTATTGCGATTCCATATGAGGATGTTTCTTTGTTCTCGATCAATGATATAAGGTGTATCGTTTGCATTAAAAAATATGGAACCGGGTTCCCATCCACTAAATGATTCTTCAGTAAACACAATTGCGTTCCGATTCATAGTTGGTATTTGACAAAGTGATGGTTGATTGATCGAAGTAGCTATAACGAAGCAGATGTCTAACTAGAGTTCTTAAGAATGAAGAAGGCTATTGGATAGTGGAAACTACCGTTTCATGCTGTGCGTGGTCGGAAAAATAGGTATCTCACATGAAGAAATATGGAGCACATAGATTTTTATCTACTTACAAGAAGAGATTTTCATCGGTTTATATTTTTGAACGCGATGATTACTTGTATCAATAACAAACATATTACCAAAACTATCGAAACTCATAGAAGATGGGCGATTTAGCTGATTTAAATGATCACCCACTCCATAACATCCAACTAAACATCGGAAACCATCCGGCCTTTCTCCAACTATACGATGATTTTCTGAATCGACAATGAATAAATACTTATGGACATCTAATAAAACTCCAGTAGGACCTCGGAGTGAAATAGTCAAGTATTCGGAATCTTCTCCTGCAACTGTAATGCCATCGCTTTCTCCAAGTGCGAATAGTTGTACTCTATGATTTCCATAATCTGCCACAAATAAATCCAAGTTTATATCAATAAAAATTCCATGAGGCCTATCAAGTTCTTCGAGCGCAGATCCACCAACACCTGTCCCAGCGATGAGAACGGGTTCCATCGAAACGAGTTTCAAGTCTTTTCTCACCACTTGATGTTCATCTCTCATCGAACAGTACACATTATCAATAAGATCGACGAAAAGGCCATAACACGATGAATTGACATACATCATCGTTTCAAAAGTATTTTCTTCTGATTTCCATCTCTTTACCACATTACCACTCTGATAATCATCAATGTAAATATCATCATTTGATGCTAAAAATAGAGAAGTGACATTTGTAAAGTTTCCTTGAATCTCGCTCGTTGGATTTAGACTCTGACTGTCATTCCAAACCAAGATTTTCTGTTTGTCCCGATTAACGATATAGATCGTGTCATTTGTATTGATAAATATGGTGGTCGGTTCTATGCCAACGATGGATTTATTAGCGAATGTGATTCCGTTTCGATTCCAAGTTACTGTTGAAGATAAATTCAGTTGTTTATTGGAAAATGCTAGAACACGAAACTTTTCTTTGTTTTGGTAGAATAATGAACATTTTAGTTAACTTACCAGATGATCCCATAATGTAAATAAATAAGGTCATTAAAATGAAAAAAATGCAAGCTTTTGGTGCCATAGTATTCTTCTTCGCCAATCTATATCAGACTTCTGGAAGAACGATATTATCATGTGTCCGTTGAAATCATAATAGGAATAATATTTCTTGTCAGCAAATAGACCATCAATGCTGCCATCCGTCGTCGTTCTGGCTAAATATTTGTATCACATTCTTTGCTAAATGCAACTTTTAAATGTTATTTGTTTCAGACGAGTTTGCTTTGAAAACAAAAATATCGTACCAGTTGAGAAAGAAAATGAACGATCATTTTTTAATTTATCTGCGAGACCCACGATCTCGTGATGTCAATAGAAAAAAAACTGTTAGTGTAATCTTTGCGTGGTTAAAAAAATAGGAGACATGATAAATACGTTAACATTATAATAACGAGGATTTATAACAAATATCTATTGGTCTTATATCAATTACAAGATTAAAATTTTTGTGATTTAAGTTCGTACTGATATACAGAGAAAGACTTTTCTTTAAAGTTTAGCCGAATTCTTTTCAATGAACTAAGTTTTGAAGTTACAGAAACAGTCTTATGCATTATTTGATTTGCATTGAGAGTGAGGATGCATGTTGAAGTATCAATTAAAGTTTTTACCGTAATGGATGATATTTTACATTGTTTCATATGAAAATATTTGTTTATATAGCTGCATCATTACACCCTTGTACTTATAAACGATAACTCAAATGAGCTTCCCTCCGATTTTTTGCATTTAAAACAAAGCCTATTCATTGATGAACCATTTAGTATTTGTTTTATTATTTCATTTCACATTCAAAATAATACACCAACGGAAAGTTGTAAAAGAGGATAAACTATACGACAATTTATGAGATCCAATATTAACTCTTGATAATATACCACACAAAAATTCCAAATATCAACAGTATTATTAAACAGACGAATGCGCCACCGTCAGATGACTCTGGTCCCTCGACAGACGTCGACAAAGGTGTTCTAGACGATGTTGAACGCGACGTGTTCGAAGATTCATAAGGTCGATATGATCCTGCTGATACGAACTGTTGAGTTGGAATTGCAGATAATACATTTCGTTGACGAAGTCGAGTACTTGCCAATATATCATTTTGACCTGCTGTTTCGCGACACGGTCGACCTAATCGTCTACATTTTTCGCATAGATCCTGTCGATGTTCTCTACTAGGATCTATATGATTTTCATCATCTTCTACATCGCTGAGCTCTTGAAGTCGATGAGCTTGAATATATCGACGATCTTCATACTTCCCTGGATCCAATGGACGAATAAATCTTGACGAAGAGCACTGTCTGCACTTCATTCCTTGTTCAATATGGGCCCACTTCCATTTTGCATTACATCTGTCGCAAATGTAAACGAACAATCTTTGAAGATTGAATGCATTTACAGGAATTACGCAGTTTTGACACTGTTGTCCATAATCAGCCCAAGCTTTGGCACTTTGCCATTTTCTTCCACAACGAGAACATCTATATTCGCCAAAGCACGGATAGTTTTTACCGAGTTCTTCAGGCATTAATCAGACGGCGTTGGCTTCTTTCATTTTGTTTTTCGGTAACTAGCAAGCAAAGCAATATAGTTTACGACAGAATGTAAGAAAAGTCCCTTTTTAAAGTTTGTTAGAGAAAGAAAAGAAAATTGAAACACGATAAATGCTGAATGTTTTCATAGTTCTCATAAAACCTTCTTTTATACAAGAAAAACGTGGTATTCTACCGACAGTTTACTTTAAAAAAGAGGAAGAGTACATAGTCACTCTAAAGCGTTTGATTGTCCAGACTATCACGAGAGCCTGGCATTAGACTGCGTTGTAGTTTCTTTTGGTCGTGTTGAGTGTCTGGCTTGCATATATGCAATCACAGATTTGTGTTTGTCATATTCTTGAGTAAGTACGCATCCAACACCCTACTCACATGCATCTAGTTCGAGAATAAACGGATAAGTAAAGTTTGGAGTTTGCATAATTGGTGGTGAAGTTAATCGTTGTTTTAATGTGTTAAATGCTGTTGTACAATCATCGTTCCATTGTATAGGAGTACGTGTTGATTTACTTTAGTTGGTTCGTAATAGTTTGAGAAGAGGTTCGGTAATTTGTGCATAGTTCTTAATGAATCGTCGATAATAACCAGTGTGTCCGTTGTTTGTTTCTTCTATCTCTCCTTTCGTTCTGTACATATTTCCTTTCATGTAAACTGGTTGTTCAATTACAAATAAAGCGTTGACTCAAAAAAAAACTGATTATTAATATCTCGTCAATGAGGATAACCACTGATTTCAATCATTTAGAAGAATATAAAGAAAAACATATTTTTACAAATTCTTGTTTTGATTTTGACCTTTAATTTCTTAGATACACGAAAGTTTAAAAATATCACATTGAACTCGATAGAGATTTTATTTGTGCAACGTCGGATTTATTCTTTAACTAAATCAATACTTCCGCGTTTATTCATCACGATGTTTTTCTTTGCATTCTTGTCATGTCTTTCACTTGCGAGCTGATTTAAAACGCAGATTCTTTTCACTTATTATCACACACGAAAGAAAAAGAATTGACACGGATGACTACGCTTTCGAATATTTATTGTTCTGCCTACACTACAATGCGTTCGATATCTTTAATTTTATATGGTTGTGACGCTGCATTCGTTCTAAATCGTTTTAAAAACAATGACGAATTCCTAACTCACAACTTACTTGTGACCGAAATAAATACGTTTTCGGACAAGACAATGTTTCAAGAATATTTGATTAACGTTCATGAAAACACAAAGTCCAGCATTTTCTTAATAGTAACAGACAACATGACTGAAAAGATACTTCGGTTTATTACACAATTCGCTGAAATATATGCCGTTTATATATTCAATCCGTCTATTCTAAACGTTGAAAATCATCCTAAAGTAAGTGAGAATCATTAAATTTGAGTATTAAAAATCCTATATTGATATAAATATCGTATACAATTCAGTTACGTGGTGTGTATCAAAATGATGATGAACTATTAAATCGTCTTATTACTGACATTCAAAGCTATGTTCGTTTGAGCGATTCGAATCCATTTTCGTTTGAAGAGAAATTTTATACGACAGACTTCACTGTGATTCAACCAATAATGTCAGCCTCATGGTTTTTTATGGCTATTAATCTTCTATTAAAGTTACCAGTAAATAGTAAATGTAAACAAATATTGGTTGAGCATTATCGCAAAGAAACGATTTCTGATAATGATGCGCGTTTTCTAGAAGAATTCAATAAGTCGTACCGAAATGACGATGCCGTTCGATGGTACACCCGAACAGGTTTTCTCTTTCGGACTCTGAATCATCTTTTCCGTGGAAGGCGTGTGGATAAATTGGCTTTTTTTCGATTTTTTATTCGTGATCTGTATGAACAACTACGCATATTTCAACAGAATCAGCCATGGCTTAGTCCTCCATTCTATCGAGGACAACTTATGTCACTCGATGAATTGTGCCATATATCACATATGTCTATTTTGAACTCGAAGTTTTCTTCGTTTCGACAAGCTCATCTGTGTGCGAGTAGTTTTTTTTCTATGACAACCGGTGTTTCTGTAGCATTATTCTTTGCTGGCATAGGTAACTACCAGTTGGACAATCCAGTTCAATCTGTCTTATTTGTCGTCAAAGCACCGAATTCTGGTCGCATTCCGTGCACAAAACCGTTTGCATCCATCAATCATGTAAGCTATTTTGAAACCGAAAATGAAATACTCTTCTCTACTGGTACTCTATTTGATATTCAATCGATACGTTACCATTCTATGGAATATTTTTGGACTATTGAGTTGTTACTAGTTGATGAAAATCTGGCGAACGAAATCCGAGAGGTGAGTAATATGTTTTCAAATGTTTACATACAATATTTCATAGTTTCCATTTACTTTACACCAAAGAAATCAAGGGGTGGAAGGCGACACTCTAATACTCCGAAAGTAACTTTAGAGTAGACTGGAATATCGTAAAAGAAGACCTAGAGTAAGAATGGACATGCGGTGAAATGTTTAAGCTCATACTTCGGCGATAATCTTGAGGGTGGGTGAGGGTGAGGATGTGGATGATGGTGATAGTGTGGGTGAGGGTGTGAATTAAGATAGTGAAGTTGATTTCTGATTTCTGCTATTATATAAAATGTAGGCATGAAAGTAGATTTCTGACTTCTGTTTGTTCTCTTGTTTCCATAGAGTGCTGCATCAGAAATCAGAAATCAGCAATCAGAAATTTGCTCAAAACTGGTACCAATTTGAGATTTGCCACGCCCTCTCTTCGTCTTCAAAATTTGAGATACATGTTGACGATTCTAATACTTTATAGAGTACAATAGCTGTGGGTGAGAGTGCTGGCCTAAATCTGAATGATCCTGTGAGTATTGACCTTTCTCTTACCAACACCCAAATCTACCCTCACCCTTGTCAGACATATTCTAACCATGCCTTATATGGTATGGCCCGTAAAATAGTACGTAATTATGGCCTTTTATCTATATCTATGACAACGACAAAAACAGACCGGATTTATGATTCCTGAAACTAATACCAATTGTGTTTACTTATAAGATGTCATGATTTGTCACAGATAAATCCTATCACGTACAGTAAAGAAGTCCAAATTAATAAAAAAAAAATTGCTTAGCTATATACGCTCACAACAGTATCCTATTTGCCATAGTGAGTTCTCTCTTCTATTCTCTATCATAGATACCATCGTTGAATGTTTAATAGTAACATTTCTTCCATATAATTTCTCCCTAAAAATGCAAATAGAACTATATTGACGAAAACGTGACAGTCGATGTAGTTTTCTTCTTCCAGTAATTTGTAGATGTAGTGTGCTAGTGAGAGTGTGTAAGACTTGGGATACATATGTTCTGCAGCCGGTTAATATAATGTTGTGATCGTACTACAGACTTCATCTGCGTGAATAAGCGTAAATAATCTTCTGTATTTTAAATTGGATTTCGAGAAAAAGATCGGATCTCATTCGTGTAAAGAGTGCTGGACTAGATGATCTAACAAAAAAATCTTTCACAATGGCCAACACCAGAGATTACATTTTATACGAAATCGGCATTAGATTCGAAACTAACTGAAACACCCTCATCCTCAGTTCAAAGTAAATTCTCTTTTTCTTTGTAGAAATTCAGATTGAAATTTAAAAAACCATCGTATAGTATATAATCGTGTTTTCATCAAATTCAAAATGAAGAGGCGGCCGTATGTTGATACCTGTCTCGTATATTTATTTCTTTTACTTTTGATTATGGATGGAAGTTACTCATTTTTTCTAATGTACCATACCGAAGATAGCCCATCAGTAGACTATTATGATTGTGTCTATTATATTAGTGAACAGTCACCAGTTAAATATTGTCGACGATTATCAATCGGTATTCGTTTGAATCGAGACAAAGCGCACCAAGGAAATTGTTTCAATAATGGTCGTCAAATAACATTTGAAGAATTGGGTAAAATGAAAGTTAAACCAAATGATTTACTTGCGTACAGTGTAAGTATCGAACAGACTGACAAATATGCTGCTTATCTAGCAACGGCAGTAAGTACATCAGATAAAAATAACATCACACTCTGTATATGTACCGAACAAAATACTTTTGGTAAATTTTGTGAATATCAAGGCTATTTCTCTAAATTTTCCGAGGAGATAAGGACAAAATCGTTGATGAAGGCAACCAATTGGCATAAATATCATGGTTATGGAAAAATGCAATGTTATGAAACAGTTCAATGTGATTCAGGTTTACGGTGTTTGGATTGGCGAGATATTTGTGATGGTAAGCAACAGTGCATGTTTGGTGTTGACGAAGATAATTGTGATTTACTTGAATTCAATGAATGTGAACCAGATGAATATCGTTGCAGCAATGGAATGTGCATTCCACAGGAATACTTTGTCGATGGTGAGTATTTTGATTGTGAAACAAACAACTATCTTTTGATCGTTATTTGGTCTTTATATTTAGGAGCATTTGATTGCATGGACTTGACTGATGAAACCATCAGAAAAAGTGTGAGTTTAGAAAAAGTTGACCAGACTCGATTTCAGTGTTATTTTGATGCATTACATTTTATTTGCGATGAAAGCTTGTGCGCTTGGGATAGGGCATCATGTGGTGATGGACAATGTTCATTGTCAATAAATATATTCTATGACGATCCAATAGTGTTTAGGAGTGTTACATGCGCCAACTTAAACGAATATATTTACAAATGTGAAACATATCCTCATATGTCTATGTGGACAAAGCCAGATGGTATGTGTGAAATAAAGGAAATATATGAAGCAGAGTTCATTAATCGTACAAATAAAACAGAGTACTGCCAGTATTTGGTTAAATGTGCTTTATCGAAGGGTTTCGAACGATACTGCCCTTGTTCATACAACTGTTCTGAACTAATTCAGCAACACTGTC